CGTGGGGTTGGCTCTCTGCTCACCCGTGTCCTGGGCTTGTTCGTGCCCAGGCCCCCTCACTGCCCAGCGCCTGCCGGAGGGACGTGCCGCGGGGAAGGGTGGAGTCAGTGAGGAAAGGGCCAGGAGAGCGAAAGGTTCTGCTGCCCCTGCACAAGGATTGTGTCCTTCACAACACAGGGCTGGGTGCCACACAGTTCTGGGGGTGCTGCCATGGTTCTGGGGGTGCCCCTGCAGTTCTGGGGGTGCCGCACAGTTCTGGGGGTGCTGCCACAGGTCTGGGGGTGCTGCTGCAGGTCTGGGGGTGCTGCCGCAGTTCTGGGGGTGCCCCTGCAGTTCTGGGGGTGCCGCACAGTTCTGGGGGTGCTGCCACAGGTCTGGGGGTGCTGCTGCAGGTCTGGGGGTGCTGCCGCAGTTCTGGGGGTGCCCCTGCAGTTCTGGGGGTGCCCCTGCAGTTCTGATGTGTGCTACTGTGGTTTCTGGGGGTGTTGCCACAGTTCTGGGGGTGCTGCCGCAGTTCTGGGGGTGCCCCTGCAGTTCTGGGGGTGCCCCTGCAGTTCTGATGTGTGCTACTGTGGTTTCTGGGGGTGTTGCCACAGTTCTGGGGGTGCTGCCGCAGTTCTGGGGGTGCTGCTGCAGTTCTGGGATGCTACTGCAGGTCTGGGGGTGCCCCTGCAGTTCTGATGTGTGCTACTGTGGTTTCTGGGGGTGTTGCCACAGTTCTGGGGGTGCTGCGAGCAGACACGGGGGTGGGCTGCAGTTCTGGGGGTGCCCCTGCAGTTCTGATGTGTGCTACTGTGGTTTCTGGGGGTGCTGCCACAGTTCTGGGTCCTGTCATGGCCCCTCCGCAGCCGTCCGTGTCTGTGGGAGGCGGGCCTGGTCCCCTTCCCGCTGGGGAGCAGACACGGGGGTGGGAGGCGGGCCTGGTCCCCGTCCCGCTGGGGGGGCGGACACGGGGTGGGAGGCGGGCCTGGTCCCCGTCCCGCTGGGGGGGCGGACACGGGGTGGGAGGCGGGCCTGGTCCCCGTCCCGCTGGGGGGGCGGACACGGGGTGGGAGGCGGGCCTGGTCCCCGTCCCGCTGGGGGGGCGGACACGGGGTGGGAGGCGGGCCTGGTCCCCGTCCCGCTGGGGGGGCGGACACGGGGTGGGAGGCGGGCCTGGTCCCCGTCCCGCTGGGGGGGCGGACACGGGGTGGGAGGCGGGCCTGGTCCCCGTCCCGCTGGGGGGGCGGACACGGGGTGGGAGGCGGGCCTGGTCCCCGTCCCGCTGGGGGGGCGGACACGGGGTGGGAGGCGGGCCTGGTCCCCGTCCCGCTGGGGGGGCGGACACGGGGTGGGAGGCGGGCCTGGTCCCCGTCCCGCTGGGGGGGCGGACACGGGGTGGGAGGCGGGCCTGGTCCCCGTCCCGCTGGGGGGGCGGACACG